ATAGAATCCTCTTTTAAACAACCTCTTTTCAAGGTAGTAATCTATTCACATCTTGTAACAAACACAAATCCACTAACGTAGCTTTCATCATGTTGTCTAGTATATTATGTATTAAATATATAAATCCATTATTTTCACATGGTAGCCGAATCACATTAGAGCATGTCTTTATGTAGATTCAATTTTAAAATTACTTATCAACGTGGAAAACAATAAGCTCTATCAGATACTCCTTCTAGATGTTCTTATCTTGCACCAAAAGAATGATATGCATCTTTTGATCAACAAAGAATGATCTTCTTGAAGCTCGAGCTTTTTCATCTTCGAGTAATAAAATCAACATTGATTATTGATTCAATCTTTGTCAAGCAAATTCAATTAAGTATGTCCTCTAATCCTCTTGTTTATGATATCAAGAATACTTCTTCTAAGTCCTATGATACTTCAAAGTTTGAGTTCAAGAAAAATCTACTATATTTCAAAGATCACTTATATATTCTAGATGATGAGGCATGATTACATATCCTTCAAGTTTATCATGATTTTTCAGTAACTGGATATTTTGGATATAATAAACCTTTGGAATTAATATTAAGAAATTTTTTATGGTCTCAAATGTGGAAGGTAGTCAAAGACTTTGTATAATCATACTTGTTCAAGATCCAAAACTCCTTGCCATCAATCTTATGGATTGCTTCAACCGTTACCTATTCTAAAACAACCATGGTCTTTTGTTTCTATGGATTTTATCATGGATCTTCTAGTCTTAGGTTCATATGATTTCATATTCATAATCATAGATCACTTCATCAAAATGGCAGATTTTGTACCATGTATAAAATCTATTTTAGGTGAAGAAATAACTAAGTTTTTTATCGACAATATCTATCGCTATCATGGATTTTCAAAGGATATTAAATTAGATAGGGAGACTCAATTTATATCAAGATTTTAGAAAATATTATCTAAAATTCTAAAGATGGATATAAAACTTTTTTGGCTTTTCATCCTAAAACTGATAGGTAAACGGAATGGATGAATTAAATTTTAGAACAATATTTGAGGTGTACTATCAACTATTATCAAGATGATTGGACAATTCTTTTGCCATTGGTAGAGTTTACATACAATAATTTAGTACATTCTTCTATTCAATAAATACCTTTTTTTGCTAATTATGGTTATTATCTACAACTTGATACTTTTCACTTTTCAAAAGTTGATAATCCTATGGCAAAAGATTTAGCAAATCATTTGTCAAAGCTATATGTAAAAATGAAGATATAATTAAAAGAAGGTCAAAGATGGCAAAAGACCAAGGTAGATGCCTATCGCAATGAGCAACCACAATTCAACATAGGTGACAAGGTATGATTACTTCATCACAATATCAAGACTATTTGTCCTTGTGATAAATTGGACTATTGTAGGCTGCGACCTTTTTCTATTTGTGAACAAATCAATCCTATTGCTTATAGATTACATCTACATGACTCTATGAAGATCCACCCTGTATTTCACGTGTCCTTTCTTGAGCCGTATAAGATAGTTAATATTTTGAAAAAAAGACAAATGCCACTTCCTCCAATAGAAGTAAATAATAATCAAGAGTTCAAGGTGGAAGAAGTCTTACACTCAAGGCAGCGCCAAAATAGGTTGAAATATCTTGTTCATTAATATAGATATGATATTAATGAATGCACATAGGAGCCATCACTAAATCTTGCAAATGCAGCAAAGAAAGTTGAAGCTTTTTATCAATAGAATCCATGAAAATTAAGATAAAGAATAGTAAATCTTTGCTATAAAGGAAACAAGACCGAAGGATGATAATATTCTATCTTTTATCTTTCTTTGTATCTTGTAAGTATTTGTAATATTAAGAAGATGGAGAATCAATGACCAACAGATTCAACTCAAGAGCTTTCATTTGCAAACTTATCAGATAAGACATTACAATTGTTACAACCTTTAAGATGGCGGAATCAAGATGAAGATCTTCAAGAACAATATGTCCTTCCTCAAATAAATGGTGAAATACAACATGTTTGATATCACAACCTTAAAAAAAACTCTCACTATTTAGTAATTTTATCAGAAGTAGGAACAAATTCCTGACTGTGTTCCAAATATTTTACTTGAAAGAAGTTACGAAGGCCTCAACAACAACTAAATAAAAGTGTATTCTTCTCACCTTGATATGGAATACTATTGATGGCTGAGAGAGCCTATCAACCATCTTCAAAGAGAGCAAAGATCAAAGTATGTGGCAAATATAATTTGCTGCATCTTAGACTTTATCAACATATAAAGACTATTCCTTCTGGAACTTGTCCCTAAAATAGGAGGTAATATCATAGACATATATATTTACCTCAATAATTATTTATATGATTAGATAGAAGTAGAGAAATATAGATTAATTTCATAAAGTCTTAGTGAAGCTTCCTAAAAGCTTTATAGATACGATTTTGACTCTAGATATATTTGTAGGTCAAAAACTTGGCCAATAAGTTAATCACGTGTTGATAGCTTGTAGAACAAGTTAATAGCTTGTGGAATAAGCTAATTATATGGAGCATACATAGATAACTTGCCTTACAAATTAAGATATGTGGCTAGTAAAGTCAACATGTTTTGGAGGTCCTATAAGACATTACCACGTAGCTCTTAGTTAAGAGTATATATGGAGGCAAGAGTGAAGCCTTCTTCACTCTTATCAATGCCGTTTTAGTCCTTAGTCTTCTTTCAAGACTTTCTAGTCTTTTTGTTTTTGGAAATAGCCAGTTTAATTAATATTACATTATCTTTTGAGTGACTTTATAATTTTTTCCAGCGACACAAGAGTATATTGAGGATTTTCTTTTTTTGAGATTCCTGACAATAGCTTAAGAATTGAAGTTCAATTGTCAATTCTACTTGATTGATGAATATTTAAAACTTTAATCTTATACTATGAAACTTCTTAGGTAAGGCAATTCTTTGTTCTTTAGTGCTTGAATGGTATTCTACTATAAGAAAAGGAACATGATTTGATACAAATATTGAAGAAGCTCCAATTATCTTTATATCTTTACTTTTTGTCATTCTTGTTTTTTGTTGTAGTAGTAAATTGAATTGATATATCACAAGCATTAACTTCCTTAATTATTCTTACATTCGTACTATTGCATTCTTCATTTTGGCAAGCTATGCTATAATAATACTTAGAAGGAAAGAAATGTCTAATATCACTTAAGACAAGTAAAAGAAAGAACTTAAGAATAAAAAAAATACTAAAAATAATATCAATTTAAAAGAATTTAATTTGTAACTTCTTATATATTCATATCTTAAAAAAAAAAAAAAAAAAAAAAAAAAAAAAAAAAAAAAAAAACTATTTTTAATCAAAAAAAGACAAAGCTCTAATATTATAAGTGTATTCTTGTCAATTTTTCAAGGATAAGAATTTAATGAAATTAAATTAAAAATTGATATTTTTAAAAAATATATAAAAAATAGAAATAAAAAAGTATATATATTAAAAAGAAACTGAAATGGCTATTACCAAAAGACAAGAAAACTAGAGACTTCTTAAAACTAGACTAGAAGCAAGAAAGGAGTTGACAAGAGTAAAGAAGCCTTTATATATGTTATCTACCTAGGAGCTATGTGGTAACATTCTTTAGGATCTCTAAAATATGTTGACTTTGCACAACATGTATCTTAACTTACAAGGCAAGTTTTCTATATGGGTGCCACATAATTAACTTATTTCACAAGCTACTAATATATATATATCACATGATTGATATCTTAATCAAGTTTTAAACCTATCAATCAATTTTAAATACATATAAAGTCAAAGTAGCATTTATGAAGTTTTTAAGAAGCTTCTTTAAAAGATATTATGAAATTAATCTATTTTTATCTATTTTTATCTATTCATATTATTTAGATAACAATTATAGTAAATATATGTCCATGACAATTATTTATATGAAGCTATACTTTCAAGATCAATAAGCTACACAAATGCAGATTTTTACAATAGTCTTGATAGTCAAAAGAATAGAATAGGTTATATATGTGTATTTTTGATTTTATTGCCAATACTTGACGTAGCCAAAAACAAGATTATCTTATCACCTTGATAACAGTTATTGAACTTGTAGCCCTCAAAGAATCCACCAAATAAATGACATAACTTTATTGATTACTCCACTTCCTCAATATGATCCAAAAACCACTAATAGTGGTTTATTGCAACAACCAAGTTGCAATTGCACTCGTCAAAAATCAAGAATACTATTGACAAACAAAGCATGTCCATATCAAATACCTTGCTATCTATGAATATGATGAAAACAGAATGACAGATTTTAAATATATTTACACATGATCAGTTCGCCAATATACTTGCAAAACCTCTACTGCATGACCATTTTGAATGCCTTACGTCTCCGTCCGTTTAACTAGAATGAGTGGGAGAAATGAGTAAATTGCATTCTCTGTAGAATGTACCATGGATGAGTGGGAGTATTGGATGAAACATCCATGCACAGTCAACTTTCATCCAAGATTCTGAGTACTTCTTGAGGTCCAGTGAGTTGTTCAAACTAATTCAAAGTGTAACCAATTAGAAAGTGACAGGTTCTAGTCATTAGAGAATTGGTTGTCATTGTACACTGTGTATGTAAAGTGATAAAAAGCAATATATACTATTCGCCACATGTAATTTGGCCTTTTAAATAAATTCAGGTAACAATATTATAACACACTTCTGAAGTTTTATTACAGCATAGAAAGCATTTCTCATGAAAACATTTACATATGGATGGGTGTTTGATATTGGCATTTCTCTTCAAAACATTAGTAAAATTCACATCTTTGTCAAAGTCTATTGGGATAATTGAAAGTCGAAGAGGTCGTTTTAACATTTACTTACAAACAGAGATGAAGGTTCCACACGTTCTTATCAACGCCGGAAAAATCCTGGATTCCATCTTACGTATACCGTCTTTGCAAACAAGCTCTCCATAGCAATCACCATTTGCTACAGATCCATTATAAAATATGCGCACAAGGACAACATAGAAAGGATACTTTCCTTGCAGCTAGTGAATTCATTGAGTATGCCACTTCGGCGATTGTTAAGATGTCGGGCATCGTCACATAGCGGCAACCACAATGTCATTTGTCGCCACTCAGCGACGCTAATCGCAGTACAAGAATGAACTAATACAGGCTCCAATCTAGAAGACACGGACAACGACAAAGAAAACAGAAGAAAGCCTTGATGGAGAGCATCACCCAAACGCTCAGAGATTGTCACAAAGAGAGTCTAGAGCGTTTTATTACGAATAGGAGATTTCACGACGACTAAGTACTACATGTAATCAGATTACAATTATCCAGCAGGTTTCGCTGGATCCAGGAAATCTAGTTTTTCAGGTTATATGTTGTGATACGAACACTGAACTACGGAACTGGCAAAGTAGCACCGGAAAATTTCCGATGATGTGGACGTCTCAGAATTGCGATCGGCTTCGCACGGACGGATGGAGCCATTCCTGAAGGCACATCACGGACCGAGGAGCATTGTAGTGTTTCGATCGAAGCGACCCTTGCGACCGAGCGTTTTTGGTTTGGGACAGACCCTGTAGGGATCTATCTGAACTGGCTACCCTCCCAGGTTTGTCCGAATTTCCACCACGATCCCACGGCTCTGTTGGACACTAGAGTGCGTCCGTCGCTGGTGGTAATCATGAAGGACAGGGGTCCACTCAACTTAGTCCGGCAAGTCCACAGTGAACCCCAGTTACGGAACATGGTCACCCATCCTGAGTATTGCCCTTTGATCCTCACAGACCTGATGTCGCCTGCTCCCCCGACGTTGTGGATCAGAACCATCAAGAAGTATGGATTTCCTCCGATCGTGAAGCGAACTCCACCGCGCTTAGCGCATCTTACCCTGGATATCAAACATTTCTCAACAAGATTAGTATTCAACCCAAACAGCAGTGACATTTGAAGCGGATTTGAATAAATAATAAGGACCATATACACCAGGTCACACACCTTCTGTAGAAGACAGGAGCAACACCTCCTACTTGCTTTGCGAGAGAGGTGAAAGCAGGCATTGGTAAGTCGAAGTGGGGGCGCCATGCGCACCACCCTCCGTGAGATCCTGGCGGGCACAGGTTCGTAGCGGTGACAACGATAGAGCGAGAGTAACTCCAGCACCAGTTATGCACGGTTCTGGTTTCTCTCACTGGTGCACACTTAAGCTGGTAGCATCCCCCGCAAGCGGCTCCTCCTTGAAACAACGGGGCACTCAATGCCGCAGTGAAAGATCCGTATCCGAGGGCATAAGTATTCTGATATCCGCAAGCACCTCCCTGCGTCCCTCCGCCGTTGGGAGATCCGTAGTAGGTAATGTGCGCATCCTTCCATCCATAAGGTGCTCCAAGCACCGAAGGTAAGCCCAGCGCTAAAAAGGCGACCATGAGAATGGGAAACTTCATGCTGCATATGGAACCCATATTTGTGACCTGTTCCTGCAATTATATCACACTATTTTAGAAGCACATTCTCATGAGCACATAATGCACATTTAGCTGCTCCGGAACATGCAACAGGCCTTGGCAGTCTCAGATCTAAGATCAAGTTTTCCATCGTCATGGAATATCCATGCCACTCTGCTGTGACATTCGACGAAGATAAATGAAGCATATGAACAGCTCTTTGATGATAAGAAACATGAATCTAAAATCATGCATAAAATATCCCTCCCCACATAACCCAGAGCCCTTTCAGTCTATCAACACCTGCTCCCATGAAATGGCGACATAATTCCACTCACTAGTCGATCACTTACAACGTGGAACCAGACACAATACGCCGGCTGGATGACGATGTAGTCTACAAACTGGCTTCCTAAGTCGCGCTCATGAGGAAGCACTCTTGCCGCTGATACTCGCTCACCTATATTGATAGAGAGAGCCCTCAAACAACGTTCAACACTGCAGGATGACACCTTTCCGGAGCCACAAACAGCTTATACTCTACTACTTTCCCTCTCCATCTCCCAGGCAACCGCCACCCGAATCGATCGGAGGAAAGAAGGGGACAGCTCTTAGCTATAACTAAACATAGTCGTGCCCTTGCATTGAATCGAACCAAGCTGAATCTCAAATAGGATATGTCGCGCAATCCGCGTTTCTTCTCTACTGCAACCACATCAGAATCGGCGTTCCGTCGCTCCGAGTCATGTGCTGTTCCAGGTTTAGCCCTTCTCCAGCAAGTAATTTTACATGCTTCAGGGCGGATGCTCTTGTATTGAACTGCAGGTTCGCGGCACATCAAATTTCGGATAGCTTCAAACATCGATAGTTTTGTCAAAGAGGGCTATTGTTTAGCTGGAAAATCTAGAGGGATCCTAAGCGGGAAAACATTTGCCTAGAGTTTCTGGGCGATCATTCATTCAGCTAGACATTCCCAGTTCAAGTATTTGCTTCCTGTCGCTGTAGCCACTCTTGCTCGTGAATGTCATCGACGACACAGACTGCTACGAATACTGGGTAGCAACACAAACGATCTTTCTTAAATGGTTAAGATGTTGGGGATACACCAGAACATCGAGAGGTGTACTGGTAACATTGATGGATCCGACATGTGAGAACAAAACGTAATCGAAAAATATTCATGAGGACGTCTGTTGGTGATTCACTGGGCACGTCAAGCAAAGATGTATTGTTCTCTCACTTGCATATCACGTTCATGAACCTTAGAGACAAAAGGGCTTCCTTAGTTCCGTCGACTTACGCGTTCATGTGCGGATGTATATAAATAAACTACATAGTCGATAAACTCTGCGTGCTTGATACAGAATGGAGCCGACCATACATCCGAAATATCAAGCACATTGAACTGAGGACAAACAAGTGGAAAACCAGTGGTGGATCAACCGATGCTTGGTTGCGGCTTGTGAACAAACTCCAAATAGACATTGAACATACATGGAAGAGCGCGTCCTACTAAACAATTCACACGCAAAATAATGATAGACCAACGCCTCTTACATAATTCGAAAATTGTGGGATAAGAAACTTTTCGACGTCCACCCACCGCTGTTTAAGAAGGGTAATAGTAATAGTTCCTAAAACTCCACTAAAGCATGTCATTGATTGGTTATTTTAACCAGCATCGACTTCACCCAAATTCTACAAGTCTCTACAAATATACACACTCTACTCATCATACTTTTACCGCTTGACCTGAATGTACCTTCACTAAAGCTTTGTCTTTCAGTCCTGAACTAAAAAGAAATTTTACCTCCAAATTAGCTAACTAACTATCAGTGGCAAAAAGTCTCGGTTCCCTTCAGCAGTCGATGTAACCTCCAAATGCATAGGTACCATAAGTAAACCAACCCAGAAGAAGAGTAGCGAACCCGGCCCAGAAGAAGAAAAAAGCCCAGCCTGCCATGAATAGTCCAAAGGTCATAATCGCAAAGAAAGGCACGTAGGCTCGGAGGAATCCGGTAAAGTCAACGAATTCACCCTGCACAAGAGCGAGTAGTAGAACGTCGACAAGGTTCCAGTTTGAATGTCCTCCATAGGCCATCCGGTTCATGCAATTCGCAACGAATGAGTGGCAATTGCAGGTGAAAAAGTTGTACGACTTCCTCCCAAAGACTTGAACTGATCTTGAAACAGCATCATCCCAAGAATAGGCCATGCCAGCAGTGGCGTGCTTGTCCGCAATCTTGCATGTATGCCCGAATCGAGGATGGGGAAAACAACACTGTACGCCACAATATCGAGCTTTAGAGCCAGGCGAATGTAACTCAGAAGCTAACAGTTGCATTGCCAGAAGAAACCCCTTAACCGGTTCCCTCGAAAGAGAGCGGGGAAACAAGTCAAAAACCAAAAACAAAACCAAACGAAGAGGTTATCTTCAGGCTCATACCTTATGGCGACTAAGACGCACATACTTGGCGCATGATCCAAATGCAAGATTATCGATGTTAATGTTTCCAGCAAAATCAAGAATCACGCCGTCTTCCCGACAAATGCCGACGTGACCCACAAAGGGAACGAGCCAAGCAACGATAGGTAGAGGCACCCAAACCAGACAGTATGGGAACTTTCCATTCTTTACATCCAAAGGTTGTACTGGATGATTCCACCTTCTCACTACCTGTAAAGGATCATTCGACTTGGTCAAGCATGCCACAAAAGTTTCTGAAACATAGAGACACACTTCACGACAAGAAACGTATATCATGACAGATAAAAGGGTAAATTGGCAAAGCACAGGCTCTCCTACCGGTCTCAGCGGAGAACGTCTTCTTACTTCATCCCTGACAAGAGAGGGTGGTTTCCTAACATTCTGAATACGAAAATATTTCTCGATTCCTTCAACTTGATATCCTTCTTCATGTCTCTCACTCACAGGTTGAATTACTGCATGCCGATGACCACGTATGCAAATGAGTGCCACTGATGCAGTCAAAAGAATACAATGACATACCTCCACACTTTGAGGTGCATAAAATACAATGTTGCGCGCATGAAATCTAAAACGAGGCAGTAACCAGGTCATCGAACATATTGATGAACAACACTGGAGGTTATAGGCTTAAGAATTGGCCAGATTGAGCATAGTGCAAGCGAAATATTGAAGTCAAGTGGTTGAGTAATGTCAACAACAATTCGACCACCCCACAACAATACTCTTAACACCACTATGTACAAATTGCAATAATATGACAAGATAGCAAGCTTACGATTGTTTTCAGATGAATGACGAGGTTCCAGCATCGCTTTATACTGCCCAGACAAAGTAAACTCCACACCCGCAAAATCCATTGCTGCAGCTGAAGACATGGCTGCTTTCACGAAATTATTTCTTCGCACGCAGAGTTAGTTAATGAAGACTGCAAACAGAGAGCCAGATGATATACGTCAGATTCGGAGAACACTGCTCTCGAAGGAAAATCATGATGGCGTTGTGAACAGTAATCAAGTGATATCATTCAAATGATATACTAAACGAGAGCAGTGCATGGTTTTAATTCTTTCTACAGCACCATGTCCGTCTCCATTATACAAGAATTTGCTTACGAAGCAGAATTAAAAGCATCATCTCTTCATGTACAATTGCCTGCGTCTATCAGAAACAAATATCCTGTATTTCATCATAGAATGATTTAGAAGAGCAGGAAAGGTTGGGGACATGTAAAATCGCGAAAACTCTCTAACTATCTTTGAAATCGTCTATTCCTACAACTGGTCACGAATCCTCTTCGTTATGACAGGTAATAAAGATATGTTCTATACCACTGATCATCATATCTAGCAATCTAAAGCAACATCGCTCGTGAAGTGCTAAGAGGAGAATCTCGCAAATAGCGAGGCAAGCTATACCAGCACTGCTTGCACCGAAAACAGTTGTTGATCACTGTGAGTCAAATACAGACAATGGAGAGACGCACACGGGTGTAGGGAGGTAGAGAAAAGATTTGTGAGAAACATCCGTCTTCGCAAAGTGCCGGTTGGTAAAACTATACACCAAACCGATGAGCACCGACTGGGAAAACTACATACAAAACCGACACGCCCCGACGTGGATGTCTCACAAGAGCGCAAAATCGCACTTACATGACACGCTACTGCAACAGAAGAAAACCCTGGCGCCTTCACCCCTAGCACCACCTCACAAGATAACGCCAATTCCACACCACACCTAGCTCCTCAGACCAAACACTCGCCCCTTCACGTATACGCTTCGTCCATGAAGAAGCGTAAACCCCTTGAAACAAAGCCCCCGTCCTCACACCGAGCTACACAGTAATCCAGCTCACAACGAACGCGATCACCGCAACACAAAAGCATACGCACCGCTCCAGATCAACGTACTAGGTTCTAAACCGAGTCGAGTCTTGTGCAGAACCCTGCGTCAACTATACAGAGCCGGGTTGAAAATTTGCAAGAACCTCCAGCGAAACACTCCAGTCTCGTCCAGCCTACGCCTAAAAATCGCAGGCAGAGCTCTGCGCTAGGGCAACTGCGGCTGCATTTGTTGCTACCTCGGTGATCCAGGAACTGATGCTCTGCTGCAGAGGCAATCCTTCCCCGAAGACAAGAATGAACCAAACGAACGAGAAGCTCCCTTCCAGACAAAGCCCCGGATGGATAATTGCGCCTGGTTGTTGCCGTCGACGTCGTCACGCATCGCGTTCATCCGCACGGGAGTCTGTCGCGCTATATAACGCACCTTTATTTTCTGCGCTTTTTCCCTATCATGTGTGGAAACCGCACACCCCTCCCCCCCTTTGGCCGACCGAATTTAAAGCATCTGCTTATTTTGTAGGATTTCTTCATGGACTTGAATGCATCGTCTTAAAATATAAACATTGCCGTGATGAGAAACCATATCAGTGAGAAATATCCTTGGCAGTTGAGATTTCATTCTGTTTCTGTAGGACCGTGCGTGGAATTTCCTTCGTGCATGCATCTGTCTGTTACGAGTCTCTGGTCATATCATTTTTTAGAACTTGAAAGCTGATTACATTTGTTTACTCTTGGACGCAGGGGAAAGTTCTAAACCATATCGTTTTACAAGTAGGATGCAGCGTGGTGACCCGTCGATAGGGACCACGACTGCGATCGGACCCATTGACCGTGATTAGGCTTGGTGATTGCGGTGATGGGTCCACCTACTCCCTTTTGTCCTTACTTCCCACGGTCATGAAGCCCAGTGGTTGTCTTTCCTGTGATTTGAACACGTGGAATCCACTATTGGGAAAGTACTGAGTTGCTGGACTCTCCCTTGTCTCTCGTTCTCTGTATTTGTGCGCCAGCCAGTCTGCTCCATTTTCAGGGGCTCTGGAACCCTAATTCGAATTGACCTAATTAAAATAGTAGATTGCAACATGGCACTCGATGATGGTTGGGTAGCTGAAAACACTGCACAGCCATGTGAAGTGTTGCCAAAACGGGGGTGTTAGGGCCGAGGTGGCAGAGGGAAGGATACCAGTAGCTAGATGAGATATATTGATTTTGTTCCATTTAGAGGCCACTTGGTGAACCAAAATAGGATCATAGTGGTAGCCATGTCCCACCCACCACCCACTCACTCACTCACAGGCCACATGCACAGGTTACTCAGCTCTGAGCAATCTGTGCTGGCAACACCCATTCATTTTCTAGGGGGCTGGGAGGGGGTTGTATAATGGGTCACCCATGGTGGCAATCCTGAATGCACTTCTCATCCCAAGTGGACAGCCCAAGTGGACCCAATAGAATGATAATTTTATTAGTAATAATAATGTTAACAACAATAATAAATGCTTTCGAAAATCCTGTACATGATTTTATTTTGTTTGGATTGGTTTTCCCATCACCCTCAATACTCAACTTAAGGGGCCAACAAATTCCAAAGTCTTCAAATTTCCAAATAGAATTTGGAGGAAAAAAGAAAAAAGAAATTACCAACCCCAACCTATGGCGTTGAAAGGATCCATTCTTAACAGGGCATCTTGTTCCAAGTATATGCTTTTCAAAACTTGTCTCTGATCTGGAATTATTAAATTAATAATACTGAAAATTACAATCTTTATGGGAATAGATGTTCTATGTATGAGAATCTATGCTTGCATTCTCCATTAGAAGTAAAGACATTCTTTGAACATGTGTGTTACAGACTCCCTTTGAAAACCAGTTTTGTTGAAAATGGTTTGTGAACCTCATGTACTCTTTATATAAATCACTTATACAAATAATGGACACACACAGACATTCCAGTGGAAAGTTGTAAATGGCATCAAAATAGTTTGTGCAGTGTCCACTTAATTTAATGTTTTGGAGATATAAATTAATGGGGATTTTGAAAACATTTTTAATGGATTCAGTGCAATCTGTCTTATCCCTTGTTCATCTTTTTGTCATCTATTTCATGCTCAAAACTGTAACTTGTTTCAATTTTAAGATATGTAGCTTTATTTTGATATCTATCCATGTAGCTAATACTAGCCAATGTGTCAAAAACCAATTACAGTAAACATGAAATATGTATCCAAAGTTGATTAGATTGATTCATTTAAATAAAAATGGAGGTAGATAGTAGATGCTAAGTACCTGAAAACAGTAGACATTTAACATATATAAATGGATGAAATACACATGATTGTGTATGTGAGAGTGAATTGTAAAACATTGTTTTATCAATCACATGCATTGCTGTTTCATTCACTTTGACATGGTACAACTCTAAAGTTTTAAATTATTAAAATATTTCAAATGAACACATAAATTATACCAATTGCAAAAATTTAAGGTCTTCCAATATCTCAAAACAGTGCAGGAATGTTCACTCTGAAAAAATCCTGAAGATCTGAAAGTTATATTTCTAGTTAATATGTATGAAAGTATTTGAATAAGACACACACATATATGCATGCATACATACATACATACATACACACTCACACATTGATATAGTACTTTGATATCATTTTAACATTTGTAATCTGTGATTTTTTTATGTTTTTTCAATCAGCTGAAAAATCCAAATATTTAACAAAACAAATCATTAATACTTCAATATAGCAAGCTTATTCTTTTAAAAAAAATGACAAATACTCCAATTCAAGTTTTGAAAATTGTAATTATTCAATTGTAAACTTAAAATAAATTGTGAACAAATAGTTTCTGTTAGAATCCCAATACATACTGCAAATAAGGTGGCTAATGTTGGATTATCAATTAATTTTTTGCATGTCTATAAGTTTACTGGAACTCATTTCTTAGAGTAGAAATTATGAGTTGCTTCTAAGATAATAGCAAATAAGAACTGAGGTTATCTCATTGCTTTAGAGGTGGCAACGTTAAGTTTAAATTTGAAAAGCTGCAATCGAAATATTTTAACACAAACTTGAGTATTATCATGTATTGATTCTTGGTCTTTAACAAAAATCATTGGTGCATTGTAAAAATGCATTATGTAATTTGGTGTCAAGATTTGTGAAACTGTCACACTACAAATAAAATACAGCATCTGATTACTCAGTGGCATTTGTAAGAATAATTTAATGTAGGATATTGGATGTACAATAAAATAAAAAAATATACATATTATACTTCAAAATAAAGTAATAAAAATAACTATGTAAACGTTGACTGCAGGATCAGCAGAGTTGAAGAGATTAAATTTGGGGGGAGGGGGATGGGGTTGGGAATGGGGACAAGGGCTGGAAACCGAGATGGGTGGTTTTATGAGCTATTTTCTAATGATGGATATGATAGGTGGGTCAATTTAATATTCCTTTCACACACACACACACACACACACATATATATATATATATATATATATTCTAATTTTGAGAATGATATATATTTAAAAATGAAACACACACCAGTATAGTAAACAACAGCAAACAACAACACATATGCTATTCTTGGACTATGATACAGCACAAACATCTTGCCATTGATTTGTTTGCATGTAACATCTTACTTAATTTCCATATTTGTTTTACGCTCAAAGTTTCTTTAAGTTGTATGCGAAGTAGGTTGGCAAGAGGACGAGGCTACAGACCAGGGAGAAGCAGGCACATCTCCCTTTATCTGGTTAATGGATGATAAAATTTAGTGCATCCAACAAACTGAGATTTCGTTCATCCATGACGTGGACGATGAGCACTTGCTCGAAGCAGGACCTGTTCACACAGGTGTAGGCAGGGAGGGCGAGGCTCCATGGTCGCCTTCCACCAAGCTTGACTAGCTTCGCCATGAATACCTGAGGCACATTGGTCTGTTCTCCTCTCTCTCTCACTCTCTCTCTCTCTCTTTTTTTTTTTTTTTTTTTTTTTTTTTTGAAAACAATTAAAATCGATTTCGATGAGGGCAGCAGAGATAATTTATTTTTAATATTACTCTGAGTCGGGTTGTGAGTTTAGTAGGTTTGATTAGTTTTCCAGCAGGGTTGTGTGTGTAAGGACTTGCTATTGAAGATGGAACATTTGTTTCTGATAAGCTGCTTTCGATATGGGTGAAGAAGGGAGCTGCACTGTTGTGGAATGTCTGTAGGGCTTGAATGGGTGAATGTCCAACTTGTAGAGTAATTATTTCATTTCTCTCTCTCTCACTCTCTTTGTGTGTGTGTGTGTGTGAATATATGTAAATAAATAAGTAGTAAATAAACTTTGTAATTATGAGTGTTTTTTGTTTTGTTTTGTTTTTTTTTTTTTTTTCGAGTGGCAATTCTGCAATGAAAACATTCTGAGATGCATGTAATCATCTTGTGACCTTGCAATAATTGCAGGTTATTGCAGAATGCAATGAATGTGAATTCTGCAATATGATTTCATAGCATTTGATGATGTTTGCAGGAGGAATTGCTAAATGTTCATCACTACATGTTTCTGGTGATATCATGTGACATATTCACATGGCAGATCTAGTTATAGGTGTGAGCAGCTCCAGGTGCAAGCAGAGGAACAAACATTTCTGTGCTCCTTCTAGGGAGAGAAGGATCCATATAAGTGCACCCCCCCCCCTTCTGCAGACTTAAAAGAACCAGTACAGAGTTGGTCATGTAGCTGGAGCTTGTACTTCAACTGAACTTTGGCATCAGGTTAAATTTTGAAAGGTAAGCAGCACTGATTATGGGTTTCAGTTCAGGCTTTCCTGGTATAAATTGCTTACAATCATACATGTGGTAAGTATTGCATAGGTTGTATAATTCTCCTGGAATTTTGTTTTGTGATGCTGGTATGTGTTTCTTGAGGAAACTTCAAATTCCTTGGCTTACCCTGTTCATTCAATCACACCATCGCATAAACCCTGACCAATTGTCCAAGGTTTAGCTAGTACCTATCAGAAAGGATGATGAAGTCACTGTAGTGCCCGGCACATACAAGGGCCAAGAAGGGAAGGTTGTCCGGGTTCATGGTTGAAATTGGGTCATCCACATGGAATGCATCACTTGTGAGAAAGTAAATGGGAAGCTCTTGTTTGTCTGACAATGAATGCTTGAAGATGTGTTGTAAGTACATACCAACATGTGGGATATGCTGTTGCATCATACTATGTGTTTTCATATGGGGACTATGATTTGACATCCTTCGTAACATTGTCAAATGGAAGGTGCTTGTCACCTTGGTATTTGCTACTCTTCTTATATGTATATCAAGCAGGATCCACTATGCCTCATA